TCAGCCACTAACGGTGACGCAACGGACGGTCAACTTTTTATTATTCTCATTATATTATTCTCCCGTGCACGGTCAACGTTTTTGCGACCGCGTACACCCGTGCCAGCATGGAGTAGGACACCGTCGGTCGCCTCCGACGGGAGAATGTCCCGATGGAAAACGCACAAACAGATACACAAACGCGTGCATGGGTAATAAACGATTTTTTACACATGGTATTTTGGTTGGTACATCACGTTAATATATTAAACATTTTTTCCTATTAAATAATTCAACGATATTGATTGTTTTTTATTGTTATAATTCCCTATTTAATTGTCTTGCCCAGGTGATTGGTTCTCTGAGTTTTGCATTTGTCTCGCTAATTAAAAACCGTAATGTCCGTAATTTTATTTTTCTACTTTCTCGCCGCGCACGCACCTGTATGGGTATCGTCCATTGTTATCGATATTTCCGCTGCATTCGGTCGCGGCTCCGTTGTTCGCGAGACCCGGCGAAGAAGACCGGAGCTTACGATTTTCACTTATAGACCGCCGTAAACGATTTCGTTGTCGCTCTTATTGTTCTACACCGTTTGTGCACCGCGTTGTATTGGTTTTAATAAGCCAGACGTATGTTACCTACGTTATCAAGACTCGTCAGTTGCCGCATTCGTAACTTTTTTCCTATTTTTTGGGTTTATTGTTGAATTGGTTATAACTTTGTTCCGAATTAAAATACGAAATTTATTTTAGAGCGACTTTATGCAATTTTCGGCGTTTTTTCGATTTGATTTGCAATTTTATTGATTTTCCTCGTATATAATTCGGTTTTAGATACTTTTAAATATTATTCTTATAATTTAATTTTTTTTCACTTAAAAAATAAAATAACAACGGACGCCCGTGTCAGATAATAATATAACAATAATAAATAATAATTTATGATTGTTTCGAACATGAACGATTGCGATGGCAGTGGTGGAAATATAATTTGATAAGACGGTGCAAGAGTTACGCAAATTGCTGTTCTCAAATCGAAGATCTTTCAACATTGAGAACATAAAGAAATCATTTATCGTGCTGCGCAATCATTTCTAAGGTAGACGACAGTGCCTATAAGGAACATAAATGTGTATAAAATAATAATTATTCAAATAAAACGTTTTTAAATATCGATAATTTTGTTCATAGGCTTGTGGAAAACCAGACTAAAAACACTATTCCAGTATTAATGTTAATTTTTATTTTGAAATATTCTGTAAAATAATTTATATCTGTAATGTGGTAGTCATAATAAAAAATACTTGTACCATTTTTTTTTTTTTTTTTTTTGAAAATAGTTATTTTAATAAATAAAAAAAAAGGTTATTGCAATTTTTATGTGCAACTTTGTGTATTTTTCACTGCGATAATGCAATTTTTAAGTGTAGTCTTATTAATATTTTACTACAAAAATGCAATAAATCTTAATGATTTTCAGTGCAATAACTTTCGAGCCCTAATCATCGCATATGACGTTCGGAACCGATAGAGATTTTGGAATATCTGGTGTGCGCGCACCTTGTACTACATATTAGTTGTATACAAATACATTTTACTGGAAAGAAATAGAACGTGACGCTGTATCGATATAACGTGATCGTTACGTGTGTGTGGAAAGGCACTAGGTATATGATAGGTAGCTCCTACGCTAAGGCGCACCTTAATGGCTTGATCAATAAACAATTTTTATTTTTATTTTTTTTTTTCGTGGTACAAAAAACATCTGGAACTAATGTGTTATGTTTTTCAATTGATTAATTATATTTTAGAAATTGACACGCGTTCTGGCCCGCGCACAACGTATTACCATCATGTGCTATTATTATACGTATGTATATGTACAACGTCACTGTGGTTCAATTAAATTTGTGTACCTACCAACACAGTTTTTGATTATTTACACTGCACGAGATTCACTTAACACAGCGACGTAAACAGTAGTAGTGTGTGGAATACGAAGGCTCCGCTCGTTTTGTTCTTGAAACGTTTCGGCATCGAACTCTGTATGCATGTGGAGACCATGTTTCCATCCATGCGATTTCATTGGCATACGGTGTGTGTGTGTTCCAATTTTTGAAAACAAAAATATTTATTTGGAACGAGAGTCAATCGACTCCAAAAACACATTAATCGTTAATCGATACGTTTGATAAGATTTTTTACCATCACGTGGTCCTTGGAATAGTCGGAAGAAAATGTCCGGATAGCTGAAAAAAAAACGGCCGGAAGAAAGTATAATTATTTATTAATAAATTGCACTTAAAACACAAAGGTAAAAACTAGTTTAATTTAATTCGTTCGTCAAAATAATGATTACAAGGAGTGGCGGCTCGTGGCTTGGATACTAGTCTCTTGGACGACTTAATATGACTTAATGTCCTACACCCAATGGTCAAATGGGTCGTTTTGGATGTGACAACATGACGGTTTTGATAGTTTGTTTCCTGGGAGACCGTACTTGGAGAGAACTACAAACGAAGTGTTCTAAACCGGTACCTAGAAAATCAAACAGCCCTAGTACTTCAAGAAAAATCAATAGAAATTAAACCCTCCACAATATAGCAGCCTTTCGATATCTAGTGTTTCAGAATTATGCAAGTTTCTATACCAATTACGATTTATTTGAAACATCAATATAAATCGTACATGAACAAACGATCATTTTTTCATACGGTCGCACTCTCTTTACCAGCACCCACGAGCCGCCATTGATTACAAGTAATTCGTTATTTGAATTTCACCGTGCCAATCACCTAAACATTGTATATACTGTTCACGGCTCGTGTCCCAGAATCGTAGATTTAATTGAAAAAAAGCGACAAGAGAGATTGGATTAGACGAAATAAAAACGCACAACGGGATGTTGGTGAACAACCCCCTCCCGTAAAAAACAAAAACACTACATGGATTTGGGAGGAGGGGAACTTAATACTTAGTGTACCGATTTAAAAAATAAAAACAAATCAATCGTGAGCTTTTTCAAAACGATTGCTCGAACGATAACAAAATTAATTCGTTTTGGAAATCAATACGGGTCAAATTGGATTCAGTCGAGGGTGCAAGGTATCGAACATAACCGAATCAGAAACTACGGCCGAATATCGTTCGAACTAAACGATTCGTTCGGTGCCCGTTCGCTCGTGTATCGGCAAACTGTTTACACCTCTACGTACGATTCATTCGAGTTTGGACTATAATGTAAACGCACTTTACGGGATTCGACTGCGAGTCCAGTTTCATTTACTACAAGTACCTACCTATCAAATATGTATAAGTTAGAAAATTCATCAACGAAACAGGTTATCAAAACTAGACGTGTTATTTTAAAATTTTATACGAGTCAAATTGTTTATCTAATTTTATGATATTTAAATACAACTGACGAGGTAAATACAAAAAATAAAAATGATAATAATAAATAAAAATAATCATGATACATTGAAAATATTCATGTAAAATCATTTTGTAAAAAAAAATACATTAAAGAACTATGTTATTAGGTAGGAAATTACCATTTATATGCTGTAAATATGATTTAAAACATGTAATAGCAATTTGAAAAGTTATAAGCAGTTTAAATATTGGGTCAGTTTGAAATTTCGTTAAAAATTAATATAATTGTTAGTTATGGAAATGGGGGATAATTATCCCCCTCCTCCTTAACTATGTACATCCAAACATCCGTGGGACAAAACGTTCATGATGGTTACGTTATGGTACACGAGATAGAAAAAAACAATTGTTTTTCGTTTTAACTTATCTTAAAAACGTCTTTTATTGCACATTTGTTTACGACGGAGAACTATTTGATAAAAATAAAATCGCCAAATAAAACATATTTTCGCCGTGGAGTCTGGTCGAATTTTTTCGTTCGGATCTTCGCGCAATCTGCTCACCTTCAACTGAAGTCTTACGAACCCGTTAAATTAAACGTTTCATCTCGGGTGGCGTTGAAGGCAGGCGTGTATTAGCTCACCGGGATACCGGGAAAATCCCGGTTGGCCCACTTAAAAATTATAAGATTTGGGTCCTTTACCAAATAGGTACCCGTAGTTTTAGTTAAATTCAGTAATTTTGTTATTTTTAACAATTTTATTTGAATAATTGAAAAGATAAAATTACATAAAGGACAAATAATAAATTCCGTTGGTTATTTACTGATAATGCAATTTTTTGTATACTACTCGTATAACTACTAGTTTAGATCATATTTAACTATTTTATACTTATACATAATATCATTGATTATAAATACAATAATATATAAATATAATAGTATTTATAACCATTGATAATATGTATAAATATGTATAATATGTACATATTATATTCATCGAAAACAAATAATTTTTATTTAGAATTCTAGTGAATTATAATAAGAGCCACTAGACATGACAAATATTGTACATATTGTATTGCTGTGAATTATTTCTATTTTTTGTGATTTTTTATTCAATTCGTACCAGCAATACATACAATTATATACCGTTTTTTAGATTTATTTCATTTTAGTTACCATTTTTCTTGTCTCATAGTTTTAAGTACATACACAATACACACAAATACACATACACACACTTGACATATTTCAATAAAACATAACTCACTAATAGTTGCGTGGCGAACTCAACCACTATTAGTTGAGCTACCACACCACCACACTCCAAAATATTTGTTTGGTCGGTGTCTGGAAGCGCGTCATAGCCTTTGTCGCACCCGGCCCAAACTAACTACATCTATGTATGTCCGTAACACATCAATCAATGGCTAATGTACAAAATAGCCGATCAATATATGAAACAAACATATGATTATATGATTATATGAATATATAATAGTGAATATATGATTCTAAATGTTAAGCGTTTTCTTTGTCCGAATAGTATGGATTATGTGCACATTATCCGGATAGTGTGTACTTTAGCCATAACATATATACGAGTATATCCAACCATAAAGATTTTTATTCCTTTAAAATTATTTTATATCGCAAAGAAGAGCTACTCCTCTTAATATCCAGTGTGTTGGTGGTGCGTTTGGCGGAGTCATCAAGCATAGTTCACACACATATGTCAATCCGGTTCTTTTCGGTTTTTTATAAACTGGACACGGATAACCTACTGCCCGCTTGCTTTGGAGCAAATTTATCGCAAACATGTAAACGACGGGCATTTCCGTAAACATGATCTTGTGCAGTGATTCCTGAAGTACTCTATCTTTTCGGTTCCATCCCGCTCCGTCCAAAAATAGTCCATGTACGTAGACGCCTTCCTGTAATAGATTAATTGTTAACATTGTTTACACATATCATAAGTAAAAGGTTTGTTGAATATAATTTATTATTGTATAAAAAGTAGCATCATATTGCAAATAGGTAAATCACGTTATACACATATACATATATGTATTACAATTACAGAGTCAATAGGTCACTTGTATAAATAACCTTTTAGCGTGTTATAGGCACTACATTATAATATTACTTATGTGTACGCCATGTGCTTAGTAAAATATTAACTATTACTAAAAGCAATGTAGTCATTTTTTTCTAGACCAATGTACAATCATAATCCTCAAATAAATAAGGTTTATATTTTCGGAAACGGTATATAATATTACAATAAAAATAGTTGCTCACCAAAGGAGAGGTGGTGATGTCGGTTTTATAATGAACCAATACTTCGTTTTGAAGTGCTACGTTATCCAGAGTCCAACCTTTATGAGTTCTAGATATTTCTTGTTTCATCGCTGTTAAAAACCCTTGAGGGTTGAAAAATCCTGTCATCCAAAACAAACGCGGCTTTTCTCTGAACACCCACAAAGATATTTGACTGTGTCGATTTAGCAACTCCATGTACCAAAAACCTATTGTCGACGACGTCCAAGATACCTTTAACCAATGTCCTGGAATACGGCCATCGTATAAATAATCCAACGTCTCGGTCAAAACCTAAAAACACATTATATCTTATTGATTTTTGAATCAGTGGTGGCTCGAAATTTATTTTCCAATAAAGCAGTTACGTGTGTCGAGTACCTAACCCAAGTCACAACCACAAGATACAATTAAATTGTACTTTTATATAAGTATTTATTTATATTATAAATAAATATTAAAATTAACAGGTTCAAACCAAATAATGTACAGTAATATGTATATGTATTTTATGTTAGATGTACTACTTATGTATTAAGCTTTTCAGTCACACTGGTTGAATTATGATATTCGAAGATTGTTTTATAGTTATCATACAAAAACTATTGAAGTAATTAATTAATAACTATTAATTACTTAAAATGAATACAAATTAATTTTAATAATTACTTCGTTCATTATGATTATTCCGTCGATTGCCAATAAAAGGTCTTCCAAGGTACTTTTAACTATTTCAATAACTTTTTGAATACGGTCGATTTCTTGTCCTAAAAATATGTTCATGGGTTGCGTAGGACCCATTATATTCAATCTAAAATGTATGCAAATATACAACCTTTAATCCAAAGATATAAAATATTATTATGAATTACCTTCCTTTGATTTCAAACATATTGAAAACAAGCGGAAGTTTATCTAACAATTCTTTAGACATGTTGTAAACCATTTCTTCCCTTGTCACTTCACTTCCACCACTAGATCCCTTTGGTTGAATCAATGTTATAGTATCAAACATTTCTTGAGCAATATTAGTTTGATATCTATGCAATAAATATAAATGTATTCAATTATAATTCCAATAAACCTTATCATTAATAATAAAACTATTATATTATTAATATTACAGTTTTAAACTTACGTGATGTCGGTGTTTGGATGAAGTCCACACGACTGAGGTGGATCCTTAAATGGCATTTCTTCGATTGCTAACAAATATTTTGACAATACTTCGTGATCCAATATGTTGTATCCTTTATAGAAACAAAATGCTTCGTCAAAAATACTGTCAGTAAACCAAAGTTCGGTAAAATTGTTTAATAATCGTCGGTCATAGTCATCGGTTACACGGCCGCCATAATGTACCTCGGCTATCATGTACCTATAATATCGTTTTAACAATGATTATTGTACAAGACATATAATATTTTGAATAATATTTTTTTTTATGGGAGAAAAAAATGCCTCTTTAATCATGTAATAACAATAAAATTGCAATAAATATTAAGGCTTACCTGAGAGCGATCCAGTCAATTGGAGAATTTGCATTCATATCGTCAACCATCTTTTGTAAGTACAAAGTTGACGAGTACCAATCCGATGTATTGAACTCATAGGGAATGTTCCATCCGACGGGCCCAAATTTTCTACGCTCTTGTACGACTGAGTGAAGGAAAGAAATTACGTAAAGTATTGGTCTGTATTGAGGTATGTTTGAATAACCCAACGTTTCATCTCCCATGTTGTTATATGTTCTCATTAAACCAGCTCGTAATCCTTAAAAACCAATGAAACTATATTAATTATACTCATTAACTTTCGATTCATAGTTATTTATCAGTAAACAGTTATTTAACGGTTTATAAATCATATATATTTGTTTAATTGACTTATAGTATTTTTTTTTTTTTTTTTTTGTGGGTGTAAATGAGTACCTTCTGGTGGTTCGTACGTAAAATGCACAGATATTTGTAGAAGTGATATCGGGAATTTTGGATGAACTTCTGTAGTTATCCAAATCCTAAAGCTCGATTGATTTGACGATGAAACACTATTATATATATATTCATATGTTTCTTGCATAAAGTTCAAACATAAATGGCAATTTTGAAGTAATACCCATCCTCCCTAAATTAACATATGTAAATATTAGAATATTAGTATTCTCTAGAATAATTAATTTAAATCTCGTCGATTACTTACATCGATTGCACATTGCTTTATAAGTCTCTCGGCGTGTACTTCTTGACCCTGGCCCATAGATACGGAATTGAATAGTATTTCCATTTTTTTTGGCAGTTTTCTCTATAAGATCGCTAGGATCCGAACCCATGCTTAGAAAACATATCAAAGGTGTATCACTTCGTGATGACAGGTACATTTCTTCGATGTCAAACATCACCGTTTCGACAAACTGTGGTCCCAATGATTCCGCGACGTAAGTAAATGCTTGGTTTAAAGTTCTATCTGGACACCACGCTCGTATAACCAATAATTTTTCAAATACACTAATAGTATGCAAATTATTTGGCATTATTTCTGTTTCAGGACTACTACTTTCATACCAATTTTTCCACGCAGAGCCATTTTTTTTCTACCATTGTTAATATTTCATCGAACGGCGGAAGAGCTTGTAATGCAGTTAAATTCATCCAACAAATGTCGGTCATCCAATCAAAAGGTTTGGGCCTGATTGAGTTAATATCAGTTGAAGCGCCGCCTTTAATAAAATATTCAAATTGATTTCTTGTAATTCTTCCCATGTCAATATCTATTTTCAACGCTACGAGAATGGTGAAAAGTGTTTTGTGAATCTCGTACAAACCACGACACTTGTATTTGAATATAGCAAATGTTAAGTATTCGATTATATTTTTGATCCTGCGATCAAGTGATATAGATTTCTGGGAATTGGCTAATGACAAATCAAATTGTTCTAAGAACTGTTGCAATGAATTCTGGTACATAGGATTGACCATTCCAATTTCTACAATTAAAAAGTATAACACAGATCCACGAGTTGCTATCGAACGATAATTTTCACGCATCAAACCAATTTTGATTTGTGTCTCATTTGCCACCTCTAATTTTTCACTAACATCCATAGCCGTATCTTTCGTTTTATTTAACGTGTATAAAACCGTTTCGTCGTCTACTAACGATCCTTTTACAGTGGTTAATTTTACTAAAAGATCGTGCTCTAATTTTTGCATTTTTCGTTTTTTGAGAAGTCACTTCTGCGATCAATTCTATACGCTCTTGTTCTAGTTCTTTTTTCTCAGTTTCGATCACTCTACTCAATAATTGATCTTCTAAACCTTTCATAGTCACAGTAAAGTCAATCACTGCACATCGAGCATAGAGCTCCGGTGGATATGATGGATTACTAAGTTTTGAAGTGAGATATAGACGAAAATGTTCACTTACATCAACTTCTTTATCTCCAAGTAACACTTTCAGACTTCTACCAACTTTATAATAGTTTTTTCTCCAAAATATTATTTATAACTGGATCTACATCTTGTAATATATCTTGGATTAGTAACGGTTTTCCGAATGATACACAGTCTTCAAGATGATTTCTAAAGTATTTATCATCAAAAGAAGTAATTTTTATATCGTTTATTGCTTCTTTATTTTTAATCCAAGATATCCCTTGACTTTGTGGATCAATCATAATAGTAAATTTTGACGATTTTGTAACAATTATACCGTTTTGAGTTGATAGTTCATCATTCGGCAGCCCTTGGAGATTCCATTCACTTATCGTAGGAGCATCGGCCAATTTATCTGTCACATTTAAATTGGGAGATTTTGGAATATTCTTCTGAATTAACTTTTGATTCCACGATTGCATTAAATATTTTCTATATTCTTGGTTAAATGGCCCAGAATACGATAAAAAGCCTGTAAGGAGAACAATGTCTCCCAATGAGTTTTTAATTTCCATATTAAATCCAGCTAGCTGCTGCGTCCATCTCTTTCTTTCTCCTTCTAAGCCCTCAATAAGTGCTGTAGCTGACTCCATTTTATATTTACATTTATTACCTTCGTCTTGAACTGCTTTTTGTGAGTTAAGAGCTATATTCAACTTTCGTTTCGCTTCAAATAGCTCCTTATTCTTTTCATAAGCGATTGCTTCCGCTTCTGCCAATTCTTCTTTTGCCTTACTGAATTTGGCTTCTTGTTTAACTAAATTAGCTTTCAATGGAAGTACTTCTTTGTTTACGTTAAAAAAATCAATCATAGCTAACGTCCAACTAAGAAGACCAGCAACATTTCCGCAAGCACTTTTAGCTTTGTCAAAAGTATAGTCCTTATAATTAAAATAGGGTTGTAATAAGTCCACTGTTTCTCTATTAATCTTATCTTTCTCAAAATTTTTAAGATAAGTGAGAAATTTTAAGTCAGACATCAACTAGAATATAATCAAAATAATAAATAAATATAATAACTAGTAATTTATTAGTGATGTATACTTTTAGCGATTCTTTCCAGTTAGGTTCTAAAAACGATTTTTCAAAGTCTGGTATGACTTTTTCAACTTTACGTCGAAATAGTATGAGCGTACAATCCATAATCAATGTAATCAGGTAAGGTGGACTACCTAATTTTCTTATTGTTCCTATATCAGCTGCATTAATAGTCTAAAATTGTAAAAGTTTGTTTTTTTTTAAAATTAATAAAAATGTAATTATTTTAGAATGTCGACGAACAATATTTAATATTGTAATGATGGCAAAGGTGGAATATTTGCACTATCAACGTTCCTTCAAATCCAAAATATTCTCTAAGAAAACTAAATCAAAAATATGAGGTATACTAGGGTTGGGCCACTGGCCCGTGCTATATTTTAAAATGACATCATACAATTTTATAGTTTATCGTCTATACTCTAACTTATCGATATAATAATTGTTATCTGATATTAAACATCGTTAAATGTTTAAATATCATACGTATGTATACGTATAGCTTTCAACCATAGCTGTTTGTACCAAAATATTTAACTATATCAGTTTCTTCGTATTGTGCTGTCATGTGTGTTGAATTTATTATTTCCGTGTATATAAATGCTAATTAAAATTCATGAATGACCTTTTTTTTTTCTTCTTTTTTCTATAATCTGGTCCACTAGATTTTAATTTTTTAAAAATTGACTCTCTAGTAACTTTTAGTTGCCCATCTCTGAAGTATACTATCACGTAAGAATATATCTAACCTAACCATGGAGACAACGACAACCGTAATCAAAAACAGATTATGCACCATTGTCTACAAAATATAAGTGAAGATATAGGGGGGGGGCTAACTTGTAATACTAGAGCAAATTAATGGAGTAGAATTTTCAATAAAAATTGCAGGAAAAATGCACACTAGTTACTTACTATAAAAAAATGATATAAGGATATAGTGGTCTGCGCATATAATGAGATAACGTGGAGATGATACCAAGATTTATAACAGAAACTGGAAAGGAAGAGATCTTAAGGCAAACTATTAAAGAAACAATAAAACGTAAAAGAGGGAGATCTTAAAACAATAAGAATGTAAGAATGGTAGGAAATAATCTAAAACCAACAAGTATAAAGGAAAATTATGGTACCAGCAAATACTCTATGAGAGATGTCAGTAAGAAATAATATTGTATTGTTTGTTTTCTATGAATGTATTAAAATAAATTAACAGATTGTTTAACTTAAAATAAAATGATATCATTGAAATCAAACAATTTTGATTAGAAAATTAAGTATGATAGTAAGACGTACCAATAGAGCTGCTTCAGCGGCATCTAAGGCAGGTTGAGCCTTAGCAAGTTTAATTTCAGCCACTTTTTTTTCTTTTGAAATTATTTTCAATATTTCCGAAGCTCGATCTTTCACCACTGCAACCTCGGCTCCACTCTTTTCTGCTGCTTTTACAACTATATTTACTTTGGTCGTAACCTAAAATTCAATTTTTAAATTATTTAAATAAAAAAAAAAAATAAACAAATAAATTAGAAATTACTTCTGTGCTAGCTGCTGTTGCAACAATTAATTCTTTTTCTTTTTCTATCAATTCTTCTTTTAACCTTGCTACTTGTACTGAGGCATCAGCAAGTTTTTCTAGCCCTAATATTCGTTGCATTTTCATTTCTTCAATTGTTGCATTGTTTTTTGTGTATAAAACTTTATAACCATTTACAAACAGGAGGAATGATTTTGGGGTAACAAATATTTGCCGACGAAATCTTTTAGAAAATAAATCAATACAAACATGTCAATGTCACAGTTATTATATTGAAATTATTAAATATGATTAAACATTTCTTCAATTTATTATTTTCGGTAAAAAAATACATAGCCTAATTTCAATATTAAAATGATTTATTTCATTAGCTAACTTTAATTAAGATAGTATTAAATAGTGTGTCGATTGGTATTTAATGGTGTATTTAAAATATTTTGAAGGAATGGACATGGTTAATATTCCAAAATATTTACATAAAAACTTAAATATTTTCACTAATCTGAATTTTCTATTTTTTATAGTTTAAAGATTTTTACAGAAAATATGTTTAAATTATTTTAAGTTTATTATTTAAAAACTTTTAAATCTATTAATTCATATTAGTATACTTAAGTACTATACTTAGTAAAATAATTTATATTATATATTATTAATATAATTACTATATATACATACCTATATGTAATATAAATGCATACCTTTGAAAATAACTAATGCAATCTTTGGCGACGTTATCGTGTATTTCACCTAGCGATTCTATAATTGATTCTTTTTCTTCTACCGTGCAAACCATAGGAAAGTCATGTAGGAAATGACGAGAAACTCCTAGCAATGCATCATATGGCCACGCGGTATACCAATCGATAATGCAACCGGATATGATACCGGGAAATTTCAGTGAACGTAATCGGAAACTTTCGCCAATCTTTAAAATATAAATAATTAAAATACACATATAATTACATTAATGATTTTGATAAAATTTAATAATTTTACCGGTGAAAAACATAGAACTAAATGTAAGTTATTCATAGCCTGTTTAATGAAAAATTCATATAAATTGTCTAAAGTTGGAATGGCTTTGGGGTTTTTCTTTTTGAAAATTGGCATTAAATTGTTTAACATTTCTTCAAGTTCTTCTTTGGGGAATAAACTGGCTATTTCTCCCGAGCTTAATATATTATTAATATATTCTAAGAAAGCTTCATCTTTTATATCATTGTCGGTAAAAACGAAAGTAGTTTTTAATCCTTCGAATCCAGCTTTTCTATAAAGTAATCTTAAATCATCCAAGAAATTATTAATACCATATGATCTGAAAAATCATACATTAACAAGTATTCATTTTTTTTTTCAAATTCTGAAAAACATAATTAGATTTCTTCACCATATACATTAGTTGGTGATTATAATTATAAAATTCATAATAAATTGTACGAGGTGTGATCAAAAAATACCGGGACTAAAATTATATATGCGCTAAAAATAATTGAATCGGGAATATACACACATCAAATAAAAATAGAGATAACACTCAATTACGTTATTCAAGCCGCGAGTTAATATTAACTGTTAGTAATGAACGACAATTCATTGAAATCGGATACTTTTATTGTGTCTGCCGTTTTTGTCATGTCGAATAAACTCGAGCAGCGTGTTTGCATTAAATTTTGCGTTAAACTCGGTAAATCAGCGACTGAAACTTTTGAAATGATTAAAAAAGCATTTGAAGATGAAGCGATGAGCAGGTCTAAAACATTTGAATGGCATAAAAGGTTTATTGAGGGTCGTGAAGACATTAATGATGACTCTCGTGCTGGACGACCTTCAACATCAAGAAGTTTGGAAATGGTGGCAAAAGTACGAAAAATTATTCGATCAGATCGACGAATGACGATAAGAGAACTTTCTAGTGAGTGTAACATTTCTTTTGGATCATGTCAAACTATTTTAACTGAAGATTTAGGCATGAGACGAGTCTGTGCAAAAATGGTCCCGAAATTGTTGTCTCAAGATCAAAAAAATCATCGAATTGAAGTTTGTCAAAGTTTGAAAGAACGAACACAAAATGACCCAGAGTTCATTAAAAATGTAATAACTGTTGATGAAACTTGGGTCTATGGTTATGACATAGAAACTAAACGACAGTCATCACAATGGAAATCAGTAACTTCACCAAGACCCAAAAAAGCTCGGCAAGTTCGTTCTAACGTGAAAACCATGTTGATTACTTTTTTCGATATTAAAGGCCTTATTTATTACGAATTTGTTCCAACTGCTCAAACGGTAAATCAGACTTACTACAAAGAAATTTTAATTAAATTACGAGAAAAAATCCGTAAGAAACGTCCAGATCAGTTCCAAAATCGATCGTGGTTGTTACACCACGACAACGCGCCTGCTCATTCTGCCTTATCAATCCGTGAGTTTCTAGCTGATAAACAAATTCCAGTTGTACCTCACCCCCCTTACTCACCAGACCTCGCCCCTTGTGATTTTTTTTTATTTCCAAAAATTAAAACTGACCTCAAAGGACAAAGATTTGATGATATTGAGACAATAAAAAAGAATGCGGTAGATCAACTCAAACAACTTAAAGTTGAAGACTTCCAACACTGCTTCAAAAAGTGGCAGGAGAGATGGGACAAGTGTATAACATCGGGCGGTGAATACTTTGAAGGAGACTAATATTTGAAATATTATTTGTATATTTAAATAAATAAAAAAAAAAAAATCCCGGTATTTTTTGATCACACCTCGTACTTAGTATAGTAAATAAATATACCTGGTAAGGAAAATTGAATACTGGAAATAATTAGCAATAAATGATGCTAAAGTAGTTACTGATCTTCGTCCAGAACCACCAATACCCACAAGTAAACCGTTTCCACGGGGTATTCTTAGTATACGAGATATAATAACAAGATGGAGTATACAATCTTTGAAAAATACTAAATCCATTGATGATCCATTTACTACCTCGTTCATTTGATTCATGTACATTAACATTCTAGCTTCTAATACTTCGAAACTAAAAATGTAAGAATTCAAAAATATAAATATTACATAGTAATATAATTATATTACAATGTAATATAATTTAATGTTTATCAATCACGTTTTATCAACCAATCCTTATTTAAACTATTATTTATCTAATTCGAGATTTCTATATTTACGGAAATTTCGATACAGTAAATGTATTTTAAAATAATGTTGTTAATATTGAATTCATACTTATCAATAAGTTCGTATATTTTAGGATTGTCGGATTCATAATCATCAGGCTCATCACCGGTTTCTTCGGCTACGTCACCCATAAAATCTACAAATAAATTTGAGCTCATTTCATCCGGGAATAGTTGAAATATTTCTGGTGCTAGAAAATCTCCTGCGCTGGTTTTAACAGTTTCCGTGAACCAATTTTTGTCCATAGTACTCGTAAGCTTATCGAATATGACCCGCTGTAGTTCATGACACCATAATTTTAATAAGGTAGCAATGTTTGGACACTCTTCTGTGTATATCTGTAACATTCCTTCCCAAACTCTTGATAAATCTCTCAAGTTGAAAACGTAATGGAAATTAGCTGGAGTTGGTAATAATTTTTGTTTGATCTTCTGCCACACAATTCGAGTTAGTGTCACCAACGATGGAACAAGTGCAACTATCTCTTGGTTAAAACGTTCAATGCAAAAATATCCACATCCTAAAGCACCAAATATTTTGTCCATGGACTTATCTGATGGTAATGTACAGTTAAATATGCAGAACTGTCTCTTTAGCCTAGGTGGTATATCATTTCGACCACCCCCTGGGTGTATCATAGCGCCCAGCATATTGACTCCAGCAATATTAATATAATCTCCGGGTTTCGTTAAAGAAAAGAAACCTTTGTCTTCTAAAAGCTGACGAGTTATTTCATTGGTAACCTGATAAAAAAAAGTAAATTATTTTTGAATAATTTTAAATAATGGGACATGTACGTTTTTTGCTTTAGAATTACCGTTTTTATTAAACACAAATTTGATAAAATATTCTAGAACTTAATTATATACTTTATACTTAATTGTAATATAATTAAATTACAAGATGTAATGCTATGTTTTAAAATCGTATTATTTTACATACGTTTGATAAAATAATTTAGACCGAAGATGTAACTATTAAATAATAAGCAAAAGAAGACAGTTTGTTATCCCTTTTCGGAAATTGTTATTATAAAAAGTGATAGATCAATGTTGTCATAAATTAGTTGCGACAGTTATTTTATTTACTTGATCACCCCAATCGTTAATGATCGGCATGTTTATGTCATCAATGAATATTGTCATTTTTCGATTGCCTGGTGGACCATAAGTATTACCAAATCTTTTCTCTACGTAACCCTCTACAGTGTTCTAAAGATTTATTAATTATTACATTAAATGTCACACAAAATATATTATTTTTTTTACTTGAAACATATTTGGAGTGGTAGCTGATGAAAAGTTTAACATTTTGCTCAGTCTTGTTTCTGGATCAAAATCTTGCATGTAACTCTTTATCATTACGGTTTTAGCAGTACCTTGTTCTCCAATTAACAGAACGTTTTTTTCTTGATTTGCAATTAATTTTATCAAAAATATTGTTCGAACGTTGTCCAAATTGGGTACTAATATGTCGCCATAAACTGGGATATAATCATTAGGATATGTATAGTCGTCTATTAATAATCCCCAATGCTGCCATTCACCTTTTGTTGAAATTGTGAAATCGTAAATTGATTCTTCTGACTAAAGGAAAAAAATAATAATTTGATGTACCTAGAAATTAATTTTTATATAACTTACATGAAGATTTGGCAAATTCATTTTTTCTTTCAGCGTTGTTATTATGAAATTCTCAAGTGATTTTCGGTCTACTGATTCTAATACAGCAGCAATACTCCACATTATTGCAAAAGTATATAAACGTGATAATATAATCTCTGATAATTCTATACAAATGAAAATATTTTATATTATACATAAAATTTAGCTTTTAATTATTATAATTTTACCTAAACTTTCAGGAAACATTTTCAAAAGTCCATCAAGTATATCACAAGTTTGATGAATGTAATGAGCTTCTAACAAACTCATCTTAGGAGTAAGCTTAGATTGAAGCATTTTCAATAATTCATCGTAAGTATTATCAAAAAGTTTTTGAAAACAATTGAAAAGTAATATTGGTTTTCTTTTTCCCCATCCCTGAAATATAATGAACGTACTATAAGAAAGTATTCAAATCATAATTAGGTTAGACCTCAATAGAAATATACATTTATTTACCAATTGGTCAGTTTAAAGCACTTAAAAATTATATTTATAAAGTTATAATAAAAACCTTAAAAAAGTAAATTTAGGTACACATAATATTTTATTAAACCCGAGATAATATATTAACCAATAAATGTATAGTATAAATGTTGGATTTAATAAAAATATATTTGACAATTGATAAATTATTAATTAAAACATCAAAATAATGAATCGATACATTCAGAATTTTCATAGAGCAAGAGTTTATTCTTTTAACATACATAATATAACAAATTTTTATACTATTTGCAAAATTAATTCGTATTTTTTATTCAACGAGTAAATTGTATTGTTCAAACCGTGTATTCAATCAAAAAATGAAAAAAAAATAAAATAAAATTCACCTGAAATGCTGCTTTCCACGGCAATACAGTGGATGAGAAAAACGTCATTCCCATCCTAGATATTGTAGCTGGGGAAGCATTGTCTACATTGTCTGGTTCAAAACAAAGCTTAGCATTAGGAGCCATTACAATTCGGTCACCATTAGCTAAGGTAAGTGTTTTATTGTCGTCTAAAACGGAATTTAAATTTTCTATCCACACCGCATCTACTGGCCCATCCAAAACAATCCAACAATACTGGTGCGACTCCAACTATAATAATACGAATATAAATATATATTTGATCATATTAACCACAATCGAAACTATATTCATATGACAGAAGTTTAAAACAAATTACTTTCAATGTTTTTCTCCATAGTGTCGAAAATATACCATCGGTCCAATCGTTAGTTGATACATCTAGCCTTCCAAACATTTGTGAAGCTGTTATTGATTTAGGATTCATACGGTATTCGAAATGTGATAAACCAGTTTTTGTTAAGGATGATAAAAGGCAATGTATTGCTGCCGTTTTACCAGATCCAGTGGGTCCTAGTATCATCAATCCATGTCGAACTAATGATGTTTCATATACCTATGAATACAAATAAGTATATTTATTGTTTCAAAACTCAATAACGTACGTTAATAAATTATTTTACTTGAACAATTTTTAAATTCCAAGTTGGATGATTGACCAGTGATAACTCAGCACACGTGGCTACTATTGCTGTTTGTAGGTCTTTATAAGTCGACGAACTTGATTTCATACCGACAAACAAATCTTCAATCAAAGACAAAAATATCGTTTCATCTTGATCAATCAACTTTGAAACATTCATGCCTTTTAGCACTCTCATAAGTATTGTTTCTTCCGATTCGTTCGGGTTACTTCTTCTTTGAGTACCAAGTGTACGCAATACAGCTAGTATATTACGTAGCCCAAAATCATAATGCACCTGTTTACTCAATTGTTCTTCGCATAGTTCATATAAAATGAAGAATTTTTTAGACAAAAATTGGTTATTTTTAAAACCACAGGCTGCTAATTTCACTCGTATTATTATCTAGAAATATATTTACATACAAGTTAATTTACATAATTATGGTAACCAAAAAAAACTAATTTCAACAATGCTAATGTTATAAAATGGTCTTATACACGAACTAAAATATGATGATTTCAATATCTATAGTAAAAAGGTGAATCATAATCTACACTTTTGAGAATTTAAAATAATTACTATAAAAAAATAATGTATTTAGTATATTATATTATATTTTTTTTTATGCATAATAAATAATGTATTTAAAAACAAAATAAATGTACTTACCAGTCGATCGGGCACCATCATAGCGACGCTTCTAAAAAGGACTTTTAAATTTTCCGGTAATTCCTGACGTCCAGCATACCCAGGATTCATTGTTAGAAATATGGCGAATTCTGGATTCAAGGGAACACTATCACCATCGCTAATGGAAAAATAAAGTAAATATAAAAAACACCGTATAATACACTAGTCTACAATTTTTAACACGTCATACCTAAAAGTGAATATTTCTTTTTTGAATTTACGCGCGCTAAACACAGTGTATATTTGTTGGGCAGCCACTGAAAGTACTGGCAGCTCAATGCGGTTGAACTCGTCGAAACAACCCCATGTTCCTGAATGCACTAAACCTTTAAAAATACGACCTAATCCTCGGTAGTCCATTTGATCGGAGCAATTAAACACCACCACATATTTTCCAAGAGACTTTCCCATGTCTTTGGTAGTCTCAGTTTTTCCTGTACCCGCAGGCCCGGCTGGTGCTCCACCCATATTCATTCCTGTGGTGTAAATAATTCATTAAGTATATATTACTACAAAAGAGACCATAGTTTGGTTCCGTTTAAAGTCACGTTCAGTATTCGGAGTCACATACCAACAGCTTGAGCCAAAGTAATGAAACAGCGATCAGTCAAAGGTGTAATAACAAGTCTATCTGAACAGCCCAAGAACTCATTTTGGTATATAAAGAGTACATCGGTTATGCGAACTTCACTTCGATCAAATTCTTCATTGAAATAAAAACGTTCTTGTTTCAACCATTCGAAATCCGATAAACTTGTTATTTTCATACGATATAATACTTCAAAAATATCCCTGAAATTATCATGGATCATTATATATACTTATAAATATATGTATTTATAAATAATTTGTAGGGGTTTTGACGAGAAATTATTATTTTAGTAGGAAAATGGGAATGAAGAAAATTAAACAACTCAATATGTTTTATTCAATAAAACTATTCCTTCATGAGGTATTTATGATTTGTATCGATTTCAATTGTTTTCAAACCTTTGATGAACATGTATTGTAATCAATGTTTCGTATTTTAGTCTTTCCATTTTGGTTAAATTCTTTGTAGTGCAATCAATGAGCATATTCAGGATTTGAATAAAACCATTATTTGTATCTTTCATAATTGTTTTCTTGGTAGTTGAATCCTTAATAGAACTTTCTGTTACACTTGTCCATAAAATTTGAATACCAATGAGACCCATCTATAGAATTAATCGAATTATTATAAACAATATATAGATATTACAATAATTTTTTATAGGCACTTGTGAAGGAAATTGATCGACCATCGTAATAACTGTGAATGTTGGGTCTGTCATCATATAAGTTACTACATTTGCTATGATTTGGTTTACAGTAAATTTTGTTTCATTAAGTAAATAAGTTAGCCAGTTTTCCACGCCTCCAACGCACGTAACTTGATGTTCTAATTTGATGCTTTCGCCTTCTCTAGATACAATCTCCAATGCTTTATCATATTCACTTGGGCTAAAGATCAGTTTGGCCGTATTATCGAAAAGGCTCAATAGATGAGGTTGAATAGAATGTGAATTTGAAGCTTGACCTAGGATTTCGAGTAGTGCTGGGTCCGATATAAAATAGAATCTTGAAAATATGTTCCTCTTCAGATCCAAATATCTAATGAATTTTTTATTATTTAGAATAGCAAAAGTTTCAATAATTCCTTTAAGAAATTTCATCAAGACATTGTAACAATTTAAAACAAGTGTTTTGTATGAAACATATTTTAAAATATAATATGGAAATATATTGTGGATACCCAGCTAATGACTTTTGACACAGCTCCAGTTGTTCAAACATGTATGGTAATAAAAGTTCCATTGACCCATCACCAGTGCAGATTTCAATAACATTTTCAACAAATCTGGCCTTAGTCATTATTTGAACCCATAATTTATCAATAGCCTAAGTTAAAAAAGTATTAGTATACTATATAAAATAATTTTTATAAAACCTTTACAGTAAAACGTTTTGTTTCCTGTGGGAGCTGCTTAGCTATGTCTCCTCCAACAAAGACAGCTTCTAAATAAACCCAAAGATTTTGTACAAGAATCCAATTTTCCAAAACTTGACTAGTTATAGCGAACTTTCTCACCCATTCCATTATTTCTGATTTGAACGTAACATTATACCTATAATATTTGGTATTAAAGTACTTTTACATATTCGACATACTATATAACACTACTTAACACTACGAATACACATGATTGATAATGCTCGTAATGATTATTGTACACAAATTGTATACATTAAAAAATAAAAATATTATCTCAGATGAAATACTACCTATTAGATGCTAATGAACTCATTATCATTTGGCTTTCTTCTAATGTAGCTACAACTTCAGCTAGTTCTTGGCCTTTTACAATCAAAAGTCCTCTAGTTTTGAATTGACTTAATTCTGCTTTAATAGTTGACCACTCAAAAATTATTTGACGTAATTTCGTTTCAATATCAACTTCTTTAACTGCCGTTTGGCATATATCTTCTATTTCAACTTTATTTTCCAATAAAGGAGCTTTTATTACATCAATCAGAACAAAATTAGCCTCGCCGACGGGAAAATTGGTATCAGTTAGTTTTTCTATCATATTCCAATGTCTCTCTTTAAGTCCATTTTTAAACATCATTTCTACTAATATCATTTTCTCAGACCATTCTTCAATATTGTTTTTTAATTCATTAAAAGCTGGCCAATCTTTTACTCCTGAAGGAAGTTTACGGCATTTATTAGAATAATCCACTAAGTTATCAATTATATCATCTATTTTTAAACGATTCCAAGGTATAATCGACCATTTTTCAATTGAACTATTAACTAAATTGTATAAATCGTATAGTTTTTTCAATAAACTGAAAATTCGTTTATTTTCATTTAATGAAGGGTATGTGGTCACTGGTGTGTTGAATAAACGTTCACCGTCTTGAAAACGATCCATCAAGGAAACTAATTCGTCAAAACGATCTTGAAATAATAAAACCCTTAACAAAACAAAGAAATGAATACAAGCTAAATGAATAACATCATATAATCTTCAGTTAATACCTTTCAGCAGCTTCAGAAGCCAATAACCCTTCGACCATAGGACCTTTTTCTCGGAATAGTTTATCATACACCATAATATCGTATTTAAGATGTTGTACGCCATTATTTAATTCTAATCTTAGTGAATTGTAAATTGTAAATAATCTTTGAGGTACTTCACATGTCTAAAGTGTACAATATCATATAATTATTAATAACTATTATGTTAATTTTTATTTTTATTTTATAAACATTACTTTAATTTGAAGCTTTTTAAAACCATCTATGAGTAAATTCAGGTGCCTCTCACTATCAGGTGGAATTTGGGCTTTATATTCATTTAATATATCATATAATTTTATCGTAATTTCTACATCATTGTCCAACTCTGTTAGACTATTTTCAACATCTTCTAAACAAAATACCACTCTCTTAGCATCAACCAAATAGTTGATTGGTAGTGCAAGTTGATTATATCTGTCTGATATGTAACTGTAAAGAGTTTTAAGCTTAGACAATTCTAACAGAGTGTTAGCAAATACAGTTCGCCATTGATTTATTTCATTGAATAATGATTCCTTGAGTTCATCTAATGAAAGAAAAATCAAATTCATATATTATGTTATACTGTTTAAACCTATTTTTAATCAAGCACCCAAGTGGATTTCAAGAAATCCAATCTTTAAAATCGAAGGCTCGTTGAAAACGTCTTCATCTCTTAATTTCATTGCATCAAAGTAATTTCGAATATCAGCAAGATCAAATTGTTTTCCTAATTTTTCTTGTATTCTTAAAATTTTGTGAGAATCATTGATTAATAAGTTTTGATACTTAGATTTGTATTGCTGAAAAATCATATTTCATTAAATATACATTTTACTTACAAAAATAAATAAATATAGAACAAATCATTACGGATATAATTTTGGTGATTTCCATTTTAATCGGCTTAGATGAATAGTGTAATTCTGAAAGTGCTGAACTTATGCTTTTAGATCTATTTAAACTTCTCATATAAAAATAATCATCATCCTGCATATTAAAAAGAGAATGTTAAAATATAGTCACTATCGTCTGACGTAATGCAAAAGTGTTTTTTTTTTATACTTTCATATGATGAAAACCCCAACGGGTTAAATTTGTTGACACATTTAATATGCATTTTGATATGCTCTTTATGACTGTGCTAATTATTTTCCATGACGGTTCTATTGATATTTTTAAGTTTTTCACAACTAATCGGATTTTGATGATTTGTGGAAAATTTGTTTGTACATGACGTCTGTATTATAAAATATAATACAATTATAAAATACACCATTCACGGGAAAAACATTTGTACTCACTCCTGAAAACTTAGGTTCATTGACAACAAATTTAACGTATTGCATATCATATTAATCAATGCATCCGTGTAAAAAAAATTATAAAACCGAAATACGACCATACATTGTTCATCGACTTGTTCACTTGTAGGATGATTGGCAGTGGAGATGAGTTCATCTGTATATGCAACAAATATAATGTACAATTTCGTAATATTTGAATTGAATAATTAATACACTAAAATTGGTACAACTCACTGTTACATTTAATTACGCCATCTGAATCTTTAATATTTTCTAAAGCTAATACCACGTTGAAGAAATCAAATTTTTGATTATTATTTTTTAAAGGATACTTATCATATATTCTATAAAGAATCAACTTGATTACAAAATGAAACACTTTTTCTATGCGAATTGAAGCTTCCGTAATTTGTTTCATCTTATTATTTATATGTGTTTCATTAAGTTCTAAAAATTCTTGAGGACTTATGGCTGTTTCCGGTAATTTGATCAGTATAGATTGATTAATGATTTCAATTTCTTTTCGTATTATACGATCCATATCGGCTATCTAAAACATTTATACAGTGTAAGCAAAACTAATTAATTTAAAGAATTTTATTCAAAAATCAAAAAGTTTAATATTATGAAAGATATCGATGTTGATCATACTATTTTAAAAAATCTCTCAGAATAATCAAGAGCTTTCGTTGTTAATTTCATTATCTCCATGGCCCCAGTTGATGACCATTTTATGGTGTTTAAAATTGGAATCATCAATTTGTCCACTTTCATCATTTCAATATTTGTCAATTCAACATATACGTTTGGTACAATTTTTCTGTTAATACGGACCAATTAAATTTGTATTAACGTTTATTAATTATTATATCTTGTATATACCTTATTAGATTATATTGTTTCAAAATTGATTCCGCGTACATATAACGTTCGTATAACATTTCTTTACGCTGTAATTTAACCTGCATTCTACGAAGTAAAGGAAGGCGTTTGAACATCATAATCTGAGCGATATCAATCGATTCGATGATAAATTTCGTAAAATTGCTTTTGTACATCCTTGTAGTTGGATCTCT